CCCGCCCCCCTCCCCCTCTCCTCTACTCGATGAACTGCAGCGTGGTTCTGCAGCGTGGTTCTGTCAGTGGCCGGGCAGTGGCGCTACCCACCTGAAATTGGTTGCGACGACGACGACACTGTCGTTTGTAGCGACCGAATTCCTCAGATTGTCGAGGTTTCAACCTCCTGACGAGTCGGCGAAAGCCCGACGAAACAGTCTGTTACGACCCGTGTTTGTTTCGTTACGTTTGTTATAGTTATGGCGTACGGTTGTACATATCACCGTGTATTTTGAGCAGTGAACCCCTCTTGAGTATAGATTAATGGACTGTTGAAGTCGTATCCTTATTAGCGATCATTGGTAGTTACAGATTATGTTAGGTGCAAGATAACGTACACGCGATAGTCCTGATGACCTGCTGTGTGAGACGAGGGGCAAAGAGATAGCACCGGGACGGGGTGGTGCTAAAGTGGGCGGGTGCGGCAAATTGAACATGGACTTCGAGAAAAGAAAAAAAAGAGAAGTGACTGTTTAAGTGGTTGGAGCCTTGGGAGGGAACTTTTGTAGGTATAAAATGGGTGCTGGATGTCAACTGCTTTTTTTGCTCCCTGCAAGGTGTTGGCTTCGTTTTAATTGTACCCTGTTTCAGGTAGGACATTTCCTCTCCCCGTGCCACTTGCGGCACCCTTTCATTTCCTCCCTCCCTACCCGTGCACCTTTGCAACGAGTTCTCTGTGCATTCTTTTCTGTTCAGCCAATTTTTGATACCTCCCTTTCAATAGAAAGGAGGGAGGAGAATAAGAGATACCAATGCTGTCGCTGATGATTGTGGAAAAGATATCAATGCTGTCGCTGATGATTGTGGGAAAGATTGGTCGGTACAATTTGTGTTCCTTTACTGTTCTCTCAAAATGGATAATGCGGAAGAACAACGCCGGCTACGTTGCCCGCCTACTCTTGCACAGCATTTGGTTTGTGGAATTGGATTCACTCGGAGAGGTCCTGTGCGCCCAGAAAAGGAAAAAAAAGAAAGGAGCGGTCCGGTGCTCGGATTGAAATTCTTTGTGCTTCTTGAACTATCCCCTTTTTTATTGGCTGCTTTTCCACTGGTGGACTTGCATCTGTTTTGCGTACGTGACTCGGCTGCGTGCGTATCTGCGAACGAGGTTCTTTTGCATCTGCCTTGCCTTGCACAGCAAGAGCTGCTTAACTTTCTGTTATCATTGAGTACGATGCCCTATTATTCTTTCTGCCAGGACTCGTCCTAACCAGATGTAGGTGGGTTCGATCTCGTAAACGCAAAACGGCTCCGTTGTAGGAGGTTCCTTAGCGTACACTCTTCCTGGCCTGCATTTTCTGTACTGGCTTCGGAAATGCGTTACTTGCACGACGTGAAACTCCACGGAGCCTCTGATGTAGGGTCTTTAGCGCACTTCCTCACTGGCTTGCATTTTCTGTACTGCTCTTTTTCTTGAATGCGTTACTTGCACGGCGTGATTCAACAACACCGTGAGTGTTTTCTGGAGTGTTTCTTTTGGCCTCTCCACTCCGTCGAGCAGCGTGACTTGCGATCTGTTGCTGTAGGTGAGGAGAAAGAGGAAGTCTCTTTGTGGAGTTTAGCAACTGAGCGGTTAGTTTCTCTGGATCTCATGTGTCAGGAGCGAGATGCTCGGTCCATGTCGGATCCCGCTTCTTGTTTTTCTGATCAATTGTCTCAATGTCATGCATTGTGGCTGCTTCACGGCTGCAGCTAGCTCTGCTATATGGTGATGATAAGGACATTAAACCACCAGTAGTACACCCGGGGCAAGGTCCTTTGCTATCTACGGTCAGTATCTCTTAATTCGTGCAAGTGGGACCTAGCCCCCGGCCCTGCAGGCCCCTTGCTGCTTGTTATTTTTTATTTATTTTTTTGAAACCAAATCAACTTTTCTTTCCAAAAATGTCAAGTTTTTTTTCTGAACCGCTAGCGGTGCAGTTTCTTTTTTTTGGTTTTTTTTTTTGGGCTGGCACCGCCACTCATCGTGGTCCGGTAGGGCGAGCCTCCAAAATTTTCGTAGGCTACAACTTTCTCTTTCAGCAAGGCTGGGCCCATATACTGCTGGCGGTTTAAACCGCCAGTACCTTTTCCAGCTATTGGCTGCGGGCCCCTACGTGCCGAGTATTGGCCGTGCATCTGGTTGCCGCCGGAGGCCGAGTGCGGCCTCCATGTTAACCGCCGCGTCTTGGCAAAATGCCCGGGGGCTAGGTCCCACTTGCGCAAGTCAGGAGTTTTCGGCCGTTGATCTTCGCTATCTACGGTCAGTATCTCTTAATTCGTGCAAGTGGGACCTATCCCCGGGAGAGGTGCTGATGGTTTAAGAACCTCTGCTGCAACATGTACGCGTGCCACGTTATCGTGGAAAAGTGGTTTTACTAGATGCATGAGAGAGAGCTCTTACTTTCCACACCTGTCAAGGGGTTTGTATGTCTGGAATGTCTGGGGGGCGTTAGTCTCACTGAAACTTCCGTAGGATGTATTTTGGGCCAATGATTATGGCCAAATTCAGTTCAGAAACGTCCCGGTGTGAGTGTGACCTAATTTTTTTTTTGTTAAGTTGTTGACAACTGATGCTTGGGTGCTCGTTCGGTTTCTTTTGCCTGCACCTCAGAGCTCGAGTAGTTTGTCCATCTGAATCACTTGAGTGAATTGGTATGTGGGGGGGATGATGAGAGCTTTGTATTCCACTTTCCGAGCTCGGTTTCGGTGTGCGTCGGGTCTTAGTCCCCCAATGTTCTCTGGGGCGGTTGGCCGCGGGGGGGGAAGGGTGTGGTTGACAAGGGATTATTTGAAGAGCTCAAGGGAGTCTTCAGGCAAGCCGACGATGGTCTTTCGGGCAACAGGTGATTGTCATTAGTATGGAGGTCAGCAGGACTTTCAATGATCAGTCCCTTCAGGCTGCCCCCCCCTCCCCCTTCCCCCGCCGTTGCCCCCCGGCCTCTTCCCCCCCTTCCCTCCCTTTCCTCATACTCCCCAACACACACACGCACCCTCCTGCAAACGTGGCCAACCTTGCATTTTCTATTATATATATTGCCTATGTAAACTTTTTGGTTATGGATGTATCGTGATGATTTGTGAAGGGAATGAGAGAGAGAATCTGGGGTCTTCGGTGAAAGTCCGACGAAACATTCTGCCACAGTCATGCTGTTTTTGAGTGTATGTCGAATATGACAACACATGCGGATACGCACATACGCAACCACACACCACAGGCACACTCACAGACAAAAAGAAAAGGCAAGGGGTATAGCCTGTTGCATCATTATATCATCTCGAGTTGATGTCGTGTTCTTACACGTGTATCAAAAAAAAAAATTCTTTATATATAAAAATGTGTATCATTTTGCCGATTGGTAATGTTTTTTTTTTTTTTAACTTCTCGAAACACTTGGATTTTGTATTTATAATGCTGGAAAGCGGGTCCATCGTCCCTTACATGAGATGGACTCACTCAATGCGTCTCCGCATTATGGCTAAGGCGGCTAATGGTTCTAATCTCCATTTTGTCACAACTTCCAATTGAGGCTGTGGGGTCCTTGCAGTGCAGTCTACCTCGAAGTTCGGGCACCATTGCCCAGCTGTCGTTGTACCGGTATCCGGTCCCTACATGGATCATTTTCGTCCAGTTGAGCCATTGAATTATTTATTGCCTGCTGTGGCAATCCTGCTCCTCGTGAATGAATGTCGGCTGTCAGAGAGATCTTCCAAGATCTTCCCTTTTGCTTGGCCTTCTCTTTTGTGGAGGGACTTGTTGACTGTTGTAAAAGGTTTGGGTTTGGGTGCATGCTGCCGCGGAGGTCTACGTAACCAAGCCGTGTTGATTGATCGTTAACAATTGTGGAATGTCTTTGTTGATTGATTGATCAAACCGTGGGTTGTCGGAGGCTGTGGTGCCTGCGCTTTCTCCAAAGAGGCACACGAATGTCATGGGGGTGCAGCTTCTATTTGGGTACAGGCTACTTCTATTGATCAAGCTCCCCTGAATTTCTGCTTTCCTTGATGTTTGTTTGGACTTAAGACGTGCAAGGAAATAGCAGTCGAAGTGCCTTTGAATTGAGTCTAGGCTTGTGCGTCCATTGTGTGAGTCCCAAGTTCTGGCTCAAAGTTCGTTGTTGGGCCCAGGAGAGGGTTCAGTTCTCTCTCAGCTTATCAAAATGCCCAGGGTTCGAAAATACCCAGGGCCCGGACAAGTTATCCCAGGCCTGAAGTAAGTCAACAGTCCTTCTCAACTGGGCACAATGGGAATGGATTCGAAGAATTGCCCAGAAATCAAACTAAGTCACCGATGACATGCAATCCAAAGCAGACATCACGTGTTTGGTTTGTCGGTATCGGGACCAATGTCGCAATGATTCGTTTGCTGCCACCGGGATTGGAGGCAGTCTTATGTGTGTGCTTCACACAGGCGAACCAATGGTATGTTTTGGTGGAAATCTCACACGTGTGCTGATGGGCGTTGGAAGATTGTGCTCCGAAGCGGACCATGATTGGTCATCGAGGGGGAACTTCGTCTACCTCTCCCGCTGTGAGGATCCTCCCAGCTTTTTATCCTCCTCAGGACTTCCTCTACCTCTCCCCCTGTATTTCTATACCACGTGCCAATCGCTGGCGTCTGAGCAGGGCTTAGAAGAAGAAGCTGATATGCGGAACCACATTTATCAGTTCAGCCATTCTTTGCTCGGCAGCTGTTCTCAACCGTTCTGAGATCTCATCGCACAGGTCGGCTGCCGTAGATACTCCGTGCCGTATCCATTTGGTTCCGTGCGAACCTGGGTGGTTTTAATTCTTTTGGATTAATTTGGATTCGTAGTACTCGCACTAAATGGCTGCCCCTCGGAGTTCAACAGCAGCGGGTTCTCGACACAGGTGCTGCTGTATCACTACCTCGATCTTGGTGGTGGGTGGTGCTGTCTGATCGCGCCTGCATCTCTGTCAAAGGCTGGAGAAATTCTTTCCAAAATTTTGATTTGATGTGCTTGCTCGAGAAGGCTTGCAGCATGATTGCTGTCCACAGGTCTGAAGGTCGAGATAGGCTGCTTTGTTCACAGAGAATATGTAGCATCCTCGCAGCTGCCACATGGGCCCAAGGCCCGTCCTTTATTTTTCCCTGGCCCCGCAGGGTGCGCAGCCCCCTTTTTGCGGCATGACCTGCATGGCCGCGGCCACATCTTTCAGACACACAGCTTGGGTCATTTTGTAGAGGGCTTTGTTATTCTTTATTGTATTATTATTATTATTATTGCTGACTAATTTTTGTCAGTTCTATGTGTGTCTGACCCAGTGATGTTTCGGATTGTTACCACTGTAGGAACCGTGACTAATTTTTGTCCGTTCTCTGTGTGTCCGTTCCATGTGCCTGTCGAGACCAGTAGAGCTTGCCTAGGCCGAGTTTGGGCAGATACAGTTTGTCCTAGGTCTAGAGCCTGGACGTCTGGTAGGGACCCAGTCAGTCCGTTTAGAGGTCCTAGAGGCAGGACCAGAACCTTGGCCTATGATCAGGGCCACCGATTGCAGGATAGATCGGACGGCCCGGATCATAGGCCTTGGGACCCAGCAGCAGACCTAGCGGTGCTACGACCAGCCCAGCACGACGTGTGGGGTGACGCCACAGCGGCAGCGAAGAAGAAACAAGAGGAGGAGGAGGAGGGTCGCCGTTTGGCGGAAGAACAACGGCAACAGCATGAGGCAGCCAAGCGTAAGGCTGCCGATGAGGGACACAGGTTATCAAGATTCCATCCTTGCCAGTGAGGAGATCACCTGTGGCATGGCTGTGGATTGGGGCACGAAGACTGAACAATCCGATGCCACTCCGGCGGACAAGCAGCTCGCCGCAGTCATGGTCCGCGACCTTTAAGCTCACGAAGGCCAATGTTGCAAAGGACGATGTCATCGCAACACTCGACAGCCATTGGTGTGATCCTTGACGGGGAGATTATTTCCTGGACGGCTACGAGTTCTA